ATGTAATAAAGCTGTATAGAAATAAAAAAAACTAATAAGATATAATAAAAAAAGAAACTAATAATAATTACTAAAACTTGAAATAAAATGAAAATGTAAGTAGAAAATATAAACTAAGACAATACAAAATTGTTACTTGAAATATAATAAATATTAAATAAAATAAACATTTATTTTCATTTAGTTTGACTATGTACTAAAATAAAATCTGAAATAAGTTACTAAAAACAAAGACATAATTTACTAAACAGAAACTAATAAAAATGGTAAAAACAGCAAAATTACTAAAATAATAATGTGAAAATATAAAAATAGTTACAAATTAACTAATACAAGTATTTCAATGTTACTAAAATAACACTGCTATCTAGTTGTCAATGTTATATCGTCCAGCATCTGTATGGGATGTATTGTAGGGGTTGAACGACTTCTGATTTTTTAAAGTCGACTTTTATGTGATGAAAGTCGAGTCGAAGTCGACTAGTCGCTGATGACGTCATTAATGAACAAATAAGTCTGGAGCTGTGATAAACACCTTGTGCACAGCTATGGCATATGACACAGGGCTGCCCACATGGCTATTGCTCCTATAACAGCTTTTTTTAAATCAGTTCTTTTGTCTTTAAGTCGTTATATTTCTCACAGATTTCTGCTCGTTCTAAATCAGATACAGATAAAGTAGCACAGTAAAGATTACATTAATATGAATGCATTAGTGAGAGAGCGACTGCGTGTGTAAATTAATTCTACCTGGCAGCGTCTCTCTACTAGTAGTGAAGCTGTGGAATTTAGTTATTAAGAAATATAGTTATAGTATTTATAGTAAATATAGTATATTTTCAGTTTCTAAGCTATTTTATTGAGAAATCACAGAACAGTGTTGACAATGATTCTGTGCGCGCGATCTGCGCGTGATGTACGAGCTACTGTCCGTAATGTGTGTGCGTTACAGTGCAGCAGAGCATTAGATTAGAACGGCGATTAACTTACCTGTACAATAAGCTGTTTAAAACGTGCATTCTAAGCTTAAAGCGTCATGGCAGAGCATTGAAGTCGACTAGTCCATTAGTTGGTGCAACCCCTAATGTATTGCCCTCAGTGTTTTTAGTTTTTTCCCCATAGTACCGTGAGGAGCGTTTCCGTATGACGAGCGAGAGCACAAACCAGCGCGTTCTGTGGTGGTCTATCGCTCAGACCATCATCCTCATCATCACAGGAATCTGGCAAATGAGACATCTCAAGAGCTTCTTTGAGGCCAAAAAGCTGGTGTGAAGATCAGACGGCATCACAGAGACAATAACTCAAGTAACATTCATTGCCATTATGGTTTTCAAGCATCGAAATACTCAGTGCTTCATTTCAATTTTTTCTTTTTAAATTCAATTCGGTACAACTTTATCTTGAACAGATAAATTCAGACACAATGAGCTTAAACAGGCAGAATATTAACAACCCTTAATTCTGCTGTATGACCGATAACCCTTTATCATACATGTCTAGCATCTAGAACATTGTTCATTTTACTAAAATGTGTGATAGGAAAATGTTATGCTTTTAAAGTGGTGATCATTATGGGTGCATGGAAACTGCTGTTGATTTCAAGGTTGTATTACTGATAAATGTGAAGAATCAAGCCTGCTAATCATTTCAGCATTTTTCAACATTTTTAATATGTATATATTGAGGTATTTTGAAGATTTTGACAAATTTGTGGCTTTGTTTTCATATTCTGTCTGTCTCGGGCTCTCTAGTAGTTTTAATGTTCATGATTTTGAGGGGAAATGATTCAAGCTAATTGACTATAGCTTGCATAGTAGCTATTAAGACCAACAAAAAATACATATTTTAAGAATTTCTTAAGTGTTTTACAAAATATGATTTTTGTTGTTGTTCTCAATGTTCTGTTTCATGCTTTATTTATTAACTGCATTGACCACATTTAAACATACAGGAATGTCTGTAATGAAAACGTTAGGTTTTCTGGGTTCTTCAATTTCAAGAATATATGTTGTTTATAGGATCTTTGGAAAATTTTGTACTGGCTTCTTACAAGTACCAATTTATAAAAATGCTGGTTTGCATGATGCACAAATCCTCCATATAATGAGACAATTTGAAGGTTATTTCTTGGCTAACACAGCTGTATTCTCAAGTGTCATTCAAGCTTTGTAATAAACTGTTCATCAGTGTGCATGCAGATACTTAACTGTACACTTGGTACTCAGTCGTTACATTGTTTGACACATCATTCATAAACACTGTCTTAGTTTCTGTCTATTTTAGTTGTTGTTTCTTTGAATTAAATGTGTTTTAAATTTACAGATGCTCTCCGTCTTCATGAATGAGCAGCATAATGTACTTAATTTACAATAGAATTAAAAAAATGTTTCCTTTTATATATAAATGTACTACCATTCAAAACTTTGGGGTCAGTAAGGATAAAAAAAAAAAGATTGAAACAGCTTAATACTTTTATTCACCAAGGATAGATTTAATTGATCAAAGTAACAGAACTTTTTTTTGCTTTTTTGACATCAACATGAAACATTAACATATTGCTCGCCCACTTGTTGGTCTTTTCGCGTTAGTCCGAATGAAAATACAAATTCATTCTTTGCCACTAGGTGCCGCTTTTGGAGCGGTAAAAAATAGCGGTTTCCACGGTAACGCTGTACACAAAGCAGCACTGCTGCTCACAAACGCTGCTTTATCAGGCATTACAGGCAATATGAAATGAAATCGACCAATCACCGCAGATTAGCGTCACGCAAAGGAGGGGTTTGGAAAAATTTATCGTTGAGCGAATCGTTTGGGAGTCATTGAGGAAGTAAGGTAAAAATAAATGCATATTATAAGACAATGAAAGTGTTTTTTGACCTTGCCTGCATGTCAACCTGTTGTTAGGGACTCCCAAAACCAAAATATGAACCTTTCACAACCCATAATAGGGGCACTTTAAGCAGCACAACTATTTTCAACATTGGTAATAATACAAAATGTTTCTTGTGCACGAAATCAGCATATTAGAATGATTTCTGCCTTGCCATTAGAGGAACAAATTACATTTTAAAACGTATTAAAATAGAAAAGATTGTAAAATTGTAATAATATTACACTATTCCTGTAATTTTTCTAGGGCTGCCACTAACAACCATTTTTATTTTGATTAATCTATCGACTAATTTATCGATTAATCTAAACTATTAATTTCCCACAAAAAAAATCCGTGTAAACTCAAAGAGAGTTTGAGCTTTTATTTTGAAACCGCTATGTATTCTCCTGAGTTTGATTTATAAATGATTTACCTTACAAATCTGATGAAATGGCGCACGTTGCGTTCCCAGATTGGATTCTCGTCCGTGAAATGCGCCACTTCCGACGCGAGCAAAATGAAGTCGAGGATTTTTTAAAAATCGAATAGTCGAATAAAATCGACGAATCGCGACAACCCTCAATTTTTCACAATATTACTGTTCTTACAATTTTTTTTATCAAATAAATGCAGCCTTGGTGAGCATATTAAGACACTTGCTTTAGAAACAAAATCTTACCAATTACTTTGTATATCATTATATATAGTAGTCAATATTTTAAGTGGATCAAAACCTTTCATCAACGTTGTTCTAAAACCTAAAACCAAAATGCATTCTTATCTTAGGACAACTTTGATTAACTTTTTTTAAACCACTTCAAATGTTGACTACTGTATTATATATTTAAAAAATTTTTTTAATGAAATACTAAAAGTTGACCACTGCATTTATACATGCCACACAAACCATTTAATTTTCTATTATTTTATTGCTCAACTCACCTAAATCAATTAAATATTTATGTACAACTATCTATTGCCAAGATACAAGATGTTATTTGACACACTGATTGAAAAAAAGGATGTTAATTTCTGTTTTGGCTTTTCACAACTGACCACAAACAGTAAACCCATTAGTTTGACACAATACTGTATTAATCCAAAATTTAAAAACATAAATATGATGTGATTGCCTCTAAACAAGCTTCCAAGAATCAGGATAATCTCTCTCTTGCATAGTAAAAGGCCTCAGACCCTCAGCTTCTCTGAAACACCATGTAACTGCTTGTCTCTGTATTAATTGCACCTTCATTTCTGTGTTCTGTACTGAAACCAGTGTGACTGTTGATCAGTGCTAAATTCAACACCAGTGTTTCGGGTGATATAAACTACTACATGAATTACATGACAACACCACACACACATCAGTCCCGACACATCTCACTGACACAGCTTTCACAGCAACAAGTGGAGACTGAAGCAATACTATAAATGTGCTATTTATATCATTTACATTTATGATTTTGAACAAACTACACCTACACACTTCTAGGAACAAAAATAATACATCCTATTGTTTTAATTAGATGTTAAAATGGGTTACTAACATCTAATCTAACGGAAAAGACAAATTATACCTCACATCTACGATTGGCACAACGAAACTGAGCATGTGCTGACCCTGTATCTGTTAAAAATAATCACAAAACCAAGCTTAAAGGGATAGTTCACCCAAAAATGAACATTTGATGTTTATCTGCTTACCCCCAGGGCACCCCAGATGTAGGTGACTGTTTCTTCAGTAGAACACAAACGAAGATTTTTAAGTCAAACCGTTGCAGTCTGTCAGTCATATAATGCAAGTGGATGGGAATCACGGCTTTGAGAGTCAAAAAAACATACACAAACAAAACCAAATTAAACCCTGCGGCTCGTGACGATACACTGATGTGTAAAGACACAAAACGATCGGTCTGTGCATGAAACTGAACAGTATTTATATAATTTTTTACCTCTGATTTTTACCGCAATGTCCAAACTGTCCTGAGCGCGTTCAACAGCCGGGCCTGACTCTCAAAGCCGTGATTCCTATTAACTTCCATTATATGACTGACAGACTGCAATGGTTTAGGTTAAAAATCTTCGTTTGTGTTCTACTGAAGAAACAAAGTCACCTACATCTTGGATGCCCTGGGGGTAAGCAGATAAACATCAAATTTTTGGGTGAACTATCCCTTTAAGTAATTTACAGAGGGCTGGAGGACACTTCTGAAGAGCTTTTGACAATAAAAACACCTTCAGGAAGTAAATTTAGTATTCCAGTCATTAAATCACACTTCTTTCTATTTCTTATGCCACAGAAGACCAAGTCATCAGCATTAGTTAAGACATATTAAAGGCCCTTGTCTGGTGAATGATGAGCCCAGTCATTGGGAAGAAGCCCAAGAGGTCCCACATTTAGTTCAGTAACCTTTTTCCCCATCATTCATTGCTCTGTGACCGTGAGCCGGTCCATTTTTCTGGCTGCTTCCTCACAGACGACCTTTGGCTTTCTCTCCGGACTGGGGCTCGGGGTGTTGGGGTATTCTCGGGTGCCGAAAATAGTGCTGCCGACACGTACGTTTGTAGAGCCAACCTCGATCTAATTGTAAAAACAATACAAATTGAACAAAATCGACTTTGCAATGAAATGAAAGTACAATTAAAATGAAGCAACACTTACCGCATGTTCAAAGTCAGTAGACATGCCCATACTGAGCTCAACCTGCTCTACTGGGATCTTCAGACTTTCACAGACTTCCTCACGACGTTTCAAAAGCATCTAGACACCACATAGATTAATTTACATACTTGCATTTCACATGCCATGTTGTAACATCCTTTTAGCATGAAGTGAGCTTGAATAACAGTTTCTACAAAATTATTAAGCAGCAAAAGTGTTGTCAACATTGATGATAACAAGAAATGTTAGAATGGTTTCTAAAAGAACATGTGACACTGAAGATTAAAGTAATGATGCTAAAAATCCAGCTTTGCCATCACAGAAATAAATATTATTTTAAAAAACAAATTAAACAAATATTATATAATTTTTTTATATTTTACAATATTGCTGAATTTAATAATATAAATGCATCCTTGGTGAGCATAAGGCACTTCTTATGAAAAAATAAATAAAAAAATCTTTCTGACCCCAAATTTGGTAAATATCTTTAAATATTTCAGAGACTTCAAATATATGCAAGGTCAGCTGATCTGATGCACCTGGAAATCGGGGTTGGGGCCTTCGCTGAGGTCGTAACCGTAACGGCCAATCGTCATGAGCCCGGCGAAGTCAAGAGCAGGACACTGAGACACAATGTGTTTTACCATGTTTACAGTCTCATCGGGAGGCAGGCCATGTTTACCTGATGAAACATGTCCAAGAGAGACGATCGTGCTGAGGTTTCAGAAAAACAGTCATCTGATACACTGAGAAAAGATTTCATAACGCTTAACTGTTTTTGTTAGACATGTGCCCACTGTGACATTCACATCCTGTTCGAAAGTGAATCAAACAACATCTGAACCTTTGATATGGGCTTTTGCAACAAAATTGCATAAAACATCTGAAACCCAGTATGATGCTCCCAACTGTGAATCTTTAGATTTCACAAACATCTAATAAAATACAAAGCATCGCAAGTGATTTTGTAACAATATAAGCATGCAAAGGACATTTCATTTGTACAGTACTACTGACTAATGTCTCATTAAGAGTTCAAATGGGTTTTTGCAACCCATTTTGGGTTTTAATAATGTGCCTGAAAGTAAGGAAAGTTGTATGTGCTGTGACATTGAGCAACAATGAAAGATACAATTTTGTAAGATTTGATACTCCAAATCACACACATTTTTTTATTTTAATTCTCATAAAATAGCAAAATACTGTATGTAGATTTTGATAAGAATTTGTAAAATTTTCACAGCTGATGATTTGGGTGAAGAATACTCACTTTCCTCTCCGCTGGTGTTGATCTGAACCATAATCTTTAACCGCTGTGTGTTTGCAGCTCTCATTTTTTGCCACGAACTGTTGATTTTTTCAGCCAGTTTCACAGAGTCAATTGTCTCTACCATATACAGGTTTGAGACACCTATGATTGAATTAAATGAATGTGGGTTAATTCAGAATAAAACAGTCCTAAACCTATCACTCTGTCTAACATTACTAAGTAGTTACTGTCAATCTAGTATTTAAAGTCAAGCTAAATGTAAAACTGCTTTGCTCACCCAAGAGTTTGTTGACATTATTCTTTTGCAGATGACCGATGAAATGCCATTTTATTTCAGGACATGATGAGACAACCTACAAAGATGTTTTGCATTGATCAAGACATTTGATCAAAAACAACTAAACAAATACATTTCAATTTGTCTGACTTCATACCAGGGGATGGGAAGCTTTCTCAACAAGTTCATTTACCTGCGGAAAAGGGGGATATTTAATACGAAATACGTGACCAAGCTTCAAAACATGCATACTTATTTATTTACTCACATAATTCTCTCCAAAATTTCGTTGTCCATGTTTGTAAGCCTCCACCACCATCTCTGGTGGTTTAGTCTTACTAACCGCAACCAGACGAGGGGCTATACATGGTAACGTCTGCAAGAGAAAGGTAAAATACTGTCACTAAGCTTATTGCTTAAGAGCAGCGTCGGAAATAAACTTTTTCTTAATACAATATTTGCCCCACTAGAATAGATTCTGGGGGCAATTTTTGCAATAGTATTGTAAAATGTTAAAATATTTCATGTTAAATATTGTTACTTAATATACAGTATATACCAGCATTTATTTTAGTCATTCCCACAGGTTTCGCGCTTATACCAAACGCGCGCGCACCACCACTGATCTATAATAGTGGAGCGCACAATCCGCGCTCAGTCTCAAACAGCTTGTGAGCCAGCTTATGTCAAAATGCCCGTTTTGGCGAGTATCCAGTTAAACACAGTCAGTTTTGGAACGTTAAATAGTTGAGAAAGAGGACGCATGCTGTGTAACAGTAGTAACAGGTCCGTGGATAAACTCTTAAAGGGACCGCAGTCCAATATTCCTGCTACTGTCTGTCATGTTAATCAAAGAACAAAAGACAAAGAAAATAATTTTCTGCTCTTGACTGAACACGTTTTATAACTTTAATGGTAAGCATTAATCTGTATTTAATTTTTACAATGAAGACTACAGAAATTAAAGTAATCAAATGTAAAATAACACATTCAGTGT